CTTCAAAAATTCAAAAAATTCGAAATTTTTTAAACTTGATCCAATGGCGTTTTATGCACTTATTTGAGTCTTTAAGACCTCTAGAAATGTAAAAAACGTGAAATGGATCAATTTTAAAGATAATTTTTTTTAATTTTTGTCGAGATTTTGGCCGATTTTTGGCACTCGGAGCGGTCTATTGCGAATAACTTCGGACTTATTGGTAATAACCTCTTATGTTTGGTACCGTTCGAAAGCAAATTTAATTTTCTATCATATCCAAAAAAGATTACGGTACTACGATAAATAGTTATCGAGAAAATTTCTGATAAAGTCAAAAATATCAAAAATTTAAATCCGCTTATAACTTCAAAACTATTAGGAATTTTACAGTTTTTTTTGACGCCAATCGATTCCCCGGAACATTTTACATAGGTTTACCTCAAAACATTATATCATTGAGACACAGTTTTGCCACAATTTAAAAATTAAAAAAAAGTAAAAAATTGTATTTTTGAACATGTCTCAGATTCAACTTATACCTATCCTATCCGATAGATTTTGACGCGCTGATTACGAATTTACCAAGTATTTTGCGCTATCTCTTTTAGTTTCGCCGTAATCGGCGTTTAAAAATTCAATTTTTTTGCGAGATAGTCGATAGATTTTTTTACGCTGATTACGATGGTGTTGAGCTTTTTGCTCTAAGTCTAATAGTTTGGCCGTAATCGTCGTTCAAAAAGTCAAAATTATCAAAATTGTGAAACTTTAAACGCGTTTGTCTACGAAACTATAAGACGTGGAGCATAAAGCTAAAAACCATTAGCTTGAATTATCTATCTAATGGCGCAAACCAGAAGTCGCTCCGGGTTATGGTTCCGGGTAGAGTCATTTTTAGTTTTATTAAAAAAAAAAATATTTCAAAAACTATGAGTCCTAGGTCAAAACGGTTTATTCAGGCGTATTCTCCGGTTAATTTTACATATAGTGCTAGTTTTTTATAAGAATAAAAAAAATTTGATTTTTTGGTCAAAATCAGATTTTTCTAGACTCATTCTTAACTTTATTACTCAATATCTCAAAAACTATGCATCGTAGAGTATTTTAACTTGTTGTATCGTGTTCAGCGCGAAATTTTACGTCTAGAAAACCATATTTCAAGCGTTTTTACGACTTTTATTAAATTGACTACTTTTACGATTTTACTACCGCTCAAAAAATTCGAAAATTTTTAAACTTGATCCAATGGCGTTTTATGCACTTATTTGAGTCTTTAAGACCTCTAGAAATGTAAAAAACATTAAATGGATCAATTTTAAAGTTAAAAATATTTTTGATTTTTGTCGAGATTTTGGTCGATTTTTGGTACATTTTTTTTATTACAAGCCCAAATAGTATCACCACAAAAAAGGAATCTTACCTCACAATCGTCGATATTAATTTCACAAATCTTCCCTGTGAGCCCCGGCTGACAGTTGCAAGTAAATTTATTGATACCATCGATGCAAGTGGAGCCATTCATGCAGGGCATAGGTTCACACTCATTTATATTAATCGAGCAGTCTTTGCCTTCATATCCCGGAGGACAAATGCACTCATAATTATTAACTTTATTGAGACAAGTGGCTTGATGTCGACAAGGCATTGATAAACACTCGTCGAAATCCAAATCGCATCGTTCCCCCGTATACCCCGGTCTACAATAACACTGAAATCCCCCAATTTCATTCTGACAAATCCCTTCGTTGCAAATTCCCGCTTGGTTTTTACACTCATCGATATCCATTTCGCATCGTTCACCCGAAAATCCTTCCAAACAATTACAAATAAATCCATTCTCGTTATGRCTCATCTGACACATGGCCCCATTTTTGCACGGTTTTTTCGCACATGGATCAGCGTCGATGGTACAATTCTCCCCTTTGTAGCCCAGAGGACATCTACACTCGTGATCATTTACCAAATCGAAACAAATTTGGCCATAGGGACACGAAACACCGACGCAATCGTCGATATTCCTCTCACAATGCTGTCCTTCGAAACCAGGCAAGCAATCACAGACRAATTCATGTTTATTTTGCGAAGAAATACAAGTAGCATTATTCTGACAAGGCTCTAATTTACAAACATCGTACGAATCATTGCAGTAAGTGCCCATCCACTGGTCCGTGCAATTGCAATAAAAACCACCAGTGGGTTTATCGAAACAAGAACCTCCATTCTGRCAAGGATTTGAATTACAATTCGATTGCAAATCGATTGGTATTTCGCAGAGTTGACCTGAAATTCAAACAGTTTGTGCAAAAACAACAAAACACAACAACAACAACAAAATTGTTAATTTTTGTTAATGAAAAGAAGAGCTTGTTAATTCAGCTTGTGAGTGATCCCAGAAGCATGCGTACACAAATCAACCAAAAAAACTAATACCTGGTGCTTAAGTTATTTTAATGCCAGAAATGTGTTCCGATTCATATCCCATTATGGTCACGTGTGCAGTGAAGTCACCCAGCTGTGGATCAGTCAATTGTAATAATTGCTACTCGACTGTTTTCGCATGCAGAAAATAAGTCAAAAAAGAGGAAAGTACCGCTACCATATTTTTAGACACAACCAAACCAAAATAATGCAACATTTTGTTAGAAGAACAAGAAATTAAGAAAAAAACAAATGAATGCATTGAGAATTTAACACAGAAGCCAAAGGAATTAATACAATTTATGACATAAGACCTCAACATTCATTTGTTATGTTCTCGCAAACTTTATAATTGGCTACGAAGAAAAAAGAAACCAAATTAAAWCCAAGGCTACTTTATGTAATTTTACGTAATACTGTCAACGTGCGACTTCTRGGCACTTTGTTTCAGAACTCTCGCCCTAAAGAAAAATTCAATGTAAAAATGTTTAAAAAATTGTACTTTTAAAAAATTTTGGATAGCAAATAGCCTGTAGCAAAAAAGTAATCAAAGACTTCTATACTTTCCAAATTTTTATAGATAGAATTTTTTTAACATTTTTCCCATTTTCCTGGTCTTACATTATCCTGGGTGATGAAAAAAGGCGCCCACGATTGAAACAGGCGCGTCCTTTTTTATTGAAACATAGTGACCATGATTCCAAAAAATAGTCTAAATAGATTCTTTTTAAAATTTAAACAGTTTGTCTAACAGCACAAAGCGGCAATATTGCACAAATTTCTTTTACTAAAAAACCATTTCACTCAGGTATTTTTCGTATCTAGGAAACCTTTTTGACTTTAATCGTTCAAATTTCACAGAATAAACAACATTGAAAATTGATTTTTTTGTTGCTACCATTTCCAATAATTGTATATTACTTGGACATTTTCTGTATCCTAGGATATTTGCAATGTTGCAACATTGATAAATTTTCTTTGGAGCCAAGAAATAGTATCCTAACATCTTCAATAAAGTTTATTTCAATAGACTTTTTACACATTTTTTTTAAAACACCGTCCAAAATCTAGACTTTAACAATGAAATTATTTTAAAACTGTTAATTATATAGATTTCTCTTTTCTAAAAAGGAATGTCTATATCTTACTGATAAGAGCACAAATCCAATTTTGGTCTTCGAATTCGTCTTTAATAAAAGATCACTTATAACGTGTGGGTTAACACGGGCGYCTTTTTTTCATCATACTGTATAAGGCGCGAGTTCTGAAACACTCTGTACATGTCAAAAAACTTTATTAACGCTTGAGTACCTGTAAAGCCCGGTGAGCACGAACAATTGAAATAACCATTCCAAGACGTACAAATGCCTTGATTTTTACAAGGATTATTAGCACAAATATTAGGAATGGAACAATTTGGATAACTTCCTGGATATTCCGGTTTGCAAATACATCCAAAATTATTACCGGATTTTACACAATCGGCATATGGAGGACATTTGGTTCCATCACATGAAATTTGTCTTTCCCCAGCTTCGCATCGTTCACCAGCAAAACCTTCTGGGCAAATGCATTTAAAACCRTCRRGAGTGTTAATACATTGCCCATCATTGAGACACTGCTGGGATGAACATGCGTGTAAAACCTAAAATTGAACATTTTTGCTAAAAATAACGAACAATTGTGAGAGATTTTTTGTCAAACTAACTTAAAAACATAACATTTGTCAAAAATGACCTCAATTGTTTCACAGCAACATTTTTGGAAATTCTAAAAAACACATTTTTAAGATTATAATAATTGTTGGTACTACTTACTCATTTATGACAACAACCATGATTTTTCAAGGTAAAGATAATTAATTTTGATTAATTTCTTTAAGAGGTGTTTGTTAAATCAAGATTGCAATGAAAATATTTTTTTTGACAAATGTCATTTTAACTTAATTTTCACTTTTCTCACAACACAAAGTATCGAATGACTCACATTTTGGCAGTAAGCGCCCCCATATCCCGGGGGACACTGGCACAGGAACCCCCCATACGTATCGAAACACGTCCCGTGATTCAAACAGGGACTCGTCTCACATTCATTGATATTAATTTGACAAAACCGTCCTGTATATCCAGTCCGGCTACAATCACAGGTGAAATTATCCAATCCGTCCCTGCAAATCCCCCCATTCTTGCACGGATTCCCCTTGCAATCATCAATATTAAACTCGCATTTCGGCCCATCGAATCCAGGCAAACACAAACACTCTATATTTCCATTCGAGACACAAGTAGCCCCATTTTGGCACGGATTATCCTGACACTGTTGGTTCACAATTAGTTGTTCGCAATGTTTGCCTGTAAAATTCGGGGGGCACGTGCACGTGTAAACCCCCGTGTTATCCGCATTGCACGTGGCCCCGTTTTTGCAAATCGCGGGATTCCTTTCGCAGGGGTTCCCCAAATCCATTTCRCAGTTTTTGCCCGTGTACCGAGGCTGGCACGTGCAATTGTAGCCCTTGGGGCTGTTATGACACGTGCCTCGTCGCATACAAGGCTCGGTGACGCAGTAATCGATGACTTGAAGAATGCAAGAATCTTCAGGTATGGGGCATGGTTCGAATTTGACATTGTGGTTGTAGATAATCGAATGGTTGAAAACAAGAGAGGGGCCTTCGAGGAGACAGCCGTTGAATTGTTTGCCTACGAGGAGGACTGAAGCCCCCTCGTTGTAAAAGCCGGGGTTTGTGATGAGTTCGGTTTGGTAACTCGAATTTGCAATCAACTAGGAATTATTTTATTTTACAAAAAACTCATTAAATACGATTTTTTATATACCTGTTTTTCATTATCTACTCTAAGAGTCAAGTTTCCTTGTTCGTAAAAAAGAAAAACTACGTGCCATTTGTTGTTGATGAAATTTCCGAAAATTTTGTTATTAAATTGTTTGCCGGATGTTTTCGCGAAAAATATAACGCCCTCTGAGGTTACAGAAACTTCGAGGAAATCGTCGTTTTGTTGTTGGGAAAATAGGCCGCCACCTGAATTATTATTTAAATTTTTTCCAAAGAAAATTAGTACTTCGTACCTGTGCAGGTCCGAAAGCTGAGACCTGTTTGCTTTATTGGCGAAATTGTTGTTTGCAAACGAAGATAAGCTGAACCGTTGAAATAGGCTTCTGGAGTATTTGATGGTCCCAAGTTTTGACAATTTATGCTACAAACGTAGCAAATAGCTGAAAGAAAACTCAAAGTGACGATTTTCATGTTGTTAGGCCATTGATAAGCATTTATGAATGAAAAAAAAAAACAATTAATAGAAATTTAAACAAAATTCTAATCAAAATTTTTCCATTTTTTTTAAATAAGTAGGTACGTGACGATAAAATTGGCATGCAATGATAAAAAGGAAACAAACATAAACACCAATTAAAATTCTTTTAATGTATTTTCCAACAATAAAATAAAACAAACGAAATGTACAAAAACGTTTAAAAATGTCAAGAAATAAGAGGTGAGTAACAGAACTCGATCCATACRAGATTACATTTGTGTCRTYCGTGAAAAATATGCTGAAAATAAATGAAACCATGAACATGTGGAACAAGTAATAGGCTAAAAAATCATGATTATGTAATCGAGTAACCACTGAGAATAGGCCTTTTAGTGTCGTTAAATTAGTTGGCCATGACAAAATTGACAAACCATTTGACCGCGACTATGWTTTTAGTAAAAATAKATATGTTTRATTCAAAAATCATAATTGAGCCAGTTTAATTCAAAAAATCATAAYTGAGCCAAAATTCAGTTGTTTGAAGSGAGACACCTGTCTGGCACCTGTTGCGTTTTGTTCCATACAACCAAAGCCAATTTTGGATAATTTTGATTTCATTTTCTTTTGTAGCATCTTAGATTTATATAAAAAGTATATTTACTTTTTTTACTTTTTATTCAAACTAAGTGCATATCGGGGCAATAATCGATCATAGTTGACTTTGAGTTGTCATGGCAAGCTGGGTCATAAAATTGTCCTTGCCATAATTTCTCTCAAAAATAAATTTTTAGCCCGAGTTAATCACTTTTCTGAGAAACGGAGGCCTAAATCTCGTAGTGACTCACTCATCTTCTCACACTGCAGAAACAGTTATTGTTCCAAAACCTTTCTAATTTTTGTATTGAGGAAATTTAAAGAACAAAAGATGCAAATCAACCGAATTTAAATAACAGAAAGACAAAAGTTGTACAAAACCGGAAGTAGGACTTACCCAAGAAAACAGAAATTGTCTTCAACCTCCAAGAACTCAAGAAATCCATCGTTGAGGCAACTCGATTGCAGAATATTCATTAAACTCATATGAACCATGAAGCAACAATGGGGAAATAACTTTATGTTGAAAAAAACATAATTATTATTTAAAACCAGCAAACACAAACACAAAATAAACGATTTGTACCCGAGTGGTACACAAGACAACAACACCCACACAACACTTCTAGTGACAATCTTAGGGACTTTGACTTGTTGTGGCGAACCTATATACAGCACTGCCAATATGAAAAGGAATTTAAAAATAAATAATTGTGGCCAATAACATTGAAAACTGATGAAAATTTAACTAAACTATGTTGCAAAATATTAAAATACTTTTAAAAAAGACATTTCCAGGCAGTATTAAATCCTAGTTACGTCACATTATTACATAACCAAACTTGTCAATGTTTACATCACACATGATGGCCCTTTACGATAACAAATACTGGTTGTTATCACACATACGCAACTCTTTTATTTCTACAGATGACACAGGTTGGGATAAGTTTCACAATAGCAATCAACTTATCTAGGTTTTAGGTATGTGTGAGTTAATTATGACAGGGGAGGAAGGTGTTAGGAAGCACCTGAAACAAAGCCTAGATTCATACCCTGATGATGAAGACAGTGAAGATGAAGACGATTTGTCTCATGAGTCTTACGACCTGCAACTTGATACTGATTTTCCGTTAAGATACAGGTCGAACACTGCTGTCAGATTAGAAAAGTTGGAACAGGTTAAAAAGCGAACAGGTAGAATCAAACACATTAAATGGGAAACGAATAAAAACGAATTGAGTCAAGACCAAATCGATCAGTTGTTTGTAAAGAAAGAACCTAAAATATCCAAGGAGAAACAATCTCTGTTTTCCAAGACTTTCAAACAGTACAAGATGATGCCCATTAACCCCTACATGGATTATGCAAAGTTTGATGGAAGTGGACAAGTGAATCTTCAAGTGAAAAAGTATAGGATTTTCTTGACGATGCTACCAGAGCATCAGAGGAATTACCCTTTGACTGTTTGTTGCATTTCTTCTGCTAAAATTCAAGAGTTGATTGGACTTATTTTACTCAAATGCAGGTTTATACCACAAATTAACTCAAAAGTGGGTGTTTTAAAATTCATTTTAAGTACAATGTATGAAGACTATTCGTGGAAACCTGTCAACAATTACGGTTTGTACATAACTGAGGAAGACGGAGAGGTTGATAGAGATTTTCCTAATTTGGACCCAAGAGAAAATATCGCCAAGTTTGGATTTGCGTGTTTGGGTCTAGTGGAACACTCAGACCCTTCAAAGTGTGTCAGTTTTGGAAATTCCGAAACTGTTACCATAAGAAACTTTGATTACAATGACAAGAAAGGAAAAGGTTTGTTGTGGTCAGATTTGTGTTCAAATTCAGAGTTTTTTTCTAGATTCGTCTAAACAAGACCAAGAAAAACAAATCTCGACCGATTTACACTTAATGGCCGTTCATAAAAGAGCCATGGAAGCCCCACTATACAAATCGTACAAAGTTTACATGATTAACAAAATGCGGACTAAAGTGGAGATACATTTAGGGATAAGTGGCGAAAAAATCGAAATTGATCCAGTCCAGAAAAACTCAAAATTTCTTCTAGTTAAACAAAAACCCATAAACCACGACATGGACATGATTGCGTGGTGTGAGGCCATTGACACCTCCAAGAGCAACAAAACGACTTTCAAAATAATTTACAGCCATTCGTTTACAAATTCTGATAATGGTAATTTTTTTATTTGTAATTCCAATTGTAACGTTTTTCCAGTTTCAAGCCCCACTTTACAATCGTCTGCTAGCTTCAAAAGCTACGAATTTGAAGCAGACCAATCAATCGCCGAGGAAATCGTGAATAAAATAAACCTGATTTTGGACTTAAGGTCTAGTGATACACGGAAGGAGTATTTAGCAGCACAAGAACGAAAATATTACAAGAAGAAAGCTTTTATTTAATTTCTTGTATAAAAAAATAAATTTTTTGTCCCGATTTGGAACGTACCCTTGATTACATAACCTCAACCGTCACCTGTCAGCTGTGGTCGTTACCCCCTGAGAAAAAAACAGCAAAATAATTATCATGTTTCCCTTTTTTCTCACTAATCGTATATGAAAAAAACAGAAGGAGGCTCTAAAATGGTAAATTGACCCCACCTCGACCTTTTTCACACAAAACGGGCCTATAAAAATGGTGATAATATAATTTAAAGCGATATGGATATATTTTTGTTCATGTTCCTAGTTTTTATATCTTTTTTAATCGGTGTTATAGTGACTCTCGTGGTGCAATATTATATTTTATATTCTTACTTTAAAACAAGTCCAGTGGTGACGCCAAATGGGAAAAAATGCTCCACTGATTACGTTTTACCAGAGGTATGTATTAAATATTTATGTTTTTAAGTTTAACCAAGGTTTTAGTCTTTGAAAAAACAGTTGGAGAGTGAAGAACTGAATGATGCGACGAGTTTATCGGTTAGTCTAGTTTTGCAGTTTTTGTTTCATGAATTGAGACATTCTGAAGCTATCAAAAGATGGCTATACAAGAAATTGAGTCTTGAGTTTGAGGAACTATTGACGAAAACCACAATAGGGAAATTTTTTGAAGTCATTAATGTAAGAATTCGGTTAATTGGAATTTTTTTGTTGACATTTTTGTACAGATTAGGGATATGAACTTGGGTAATCACTTTCCGAATATTAAAAAAATCAGTATTGAAGATGTGAAATTAGATAATAAGGAAGGACACATAGACACAGTTAGTTTATGTTTAGATGTAGATTATACAGGAAACTTTTTACTTAGTGTTGATGCCAAAATGAAATTTGGAAAAACTGCATATTTATCAATTAAGGGTAATTAAAAAACCTCAAGAAAACGGTTTAAATCAATTAAAATTTTAGTTAATAAAGTCAACGGTCTTGTAAGGCTTCAGTTTACAAGACATCCTTACACACACTGGTCTTTCAGTTTTTTTCAAGACCCGATTATAGAACTAGAAGTTGAATCACACTTTCAGGGACGTCAATTACAGTCAAATATCACAAGTCTCATCGTAAATCAAATAAAAAAAGCCATTAGACGAAAACACACACTACCAAATTACAAAATCAGGTAGGAAAAAATTTGGTTACCGCGTAGGCCATCAACAATTAATTTCTAGATACAAACCGTTCTTTATTAAAACCGACCCCAGCCAACTAGACATTGAAGATAGCGAAATTGTCCCTCAGGGCCAACTTGAAGTGACGTGCATCGATGTTACTAGACTCGAATTGTCAAGTGCTGTGCAAAATGTTTATTGCACTGTGGCAGTTGGTGAGTTTTAAAGTGCCAAAAACCGGTCATGTTTTCGTATTTTAGACACAATTCCGTGGATTTGTGTGTACGAATCAGAGGATCGCACTTTCATGATTCTTGAAATAACGATGACTAAGTTGAAACAAGCCCAACTTGGGGTTATTTTCAAGCCGGAGAGAAGCTCAGTGGCCGTTGAAAGCGTCTCTCCCCACAGTTGCGCCTTCAAGTCGGGCCTCAAACCCGGCGACATTGTTCTCGCCGTCGAAAATAAATCCGTTTCGAGTGTTCCTCAAGTCGCCAAATTTATCAAATCCGTAACTTCGACTCATGTCACTCTTCGGGTGAAAAGACTCGTCGATTCGTACATTTTGCGGAAGAAACACTTCGAAAAGGGGTCAACTGATGAGATGGATCAAGACGAGAGCAGTTTTATCATAGTTGATAACGTGGAAACGCCGAAAAAACCCGCTGAGAAAATCCCGAAAAGTCTTTCAAGCAACGAAAACGTCTCGAAATTTGCTCAAACGATCGGTAATTTTACTTTGCGGAAACGGAAGACTTCCGTTTCGGAGAAATCGTCAACGGAAGTGAGTTGCAAGAGTACGCCGACGTCGAGTGGGCCTGGAACGCCACAACATGGGCTGTTTAAACAACACACAACCCCGTTGTTGGTTGGGAAAAAACAGTCAATTTCGGAAATACCGGAAATTCTCCGTGAAAATTCCGAACTTGAAGTTGTCGAAGTCGGGAAAAGTAAAGAGTTGAATCCCACTTCGGTGCTTTATTTCAATGACGATTTTCAATTTAGTCTAAGAAAGGGGCTTAAATACTTAAATGTCAACGTTTGGGGCACTGTGAATGAAGATAAAGATGTTTTATTGGGATACGCGAATATCCCTTTGAGCCACATTTTAAACGAGTGTTTTAACAGCGTATTAGGGCACTACATGAGACGGTACTCTTTCCTCCCGCCAGCATTTTCCCATTCTAATAAGTATGCAAAGTGATTATGTCGGTCAAAAATACAGAAACCTGTAATTTACAGCCAATCACACCCACTGATGGCACACTCTGGCTTCGAACACGTCTTTTGTTACGGCGATATTCTTCTGTCTTTCATATGGTCACACGAGGACGATATCGAAGTCAAACGTAAAATGTCTCAGGACATTTTAAACACGGACATTGAACAAATTTCAACTTCAACAACCCTCAAACACGATTTTATAAGAACTCAGTTCCACCGCACCACCCATTGTGATTTCTGTTCGAAAAAGGTAATTAAGAAGGTGGTATCACCAGTGTTGTCAGATCAAAAACATAAAATTCACCAGATCCGAGTTAAAAAATTTGTCAAATTAGTACCAGATTACGACTTGTGTGGCAAAATCTCGCGAAAAAACGCAGTTTTCAGCTTAAAAATCTGCTTAAACTTTTGAAAAAAAAGACATGCTTTTTGCCCTAATTCTGTAATTTTTCAGCTTGTTTTCAAGAAATAATTGCGTTTCTAGCTGAAAAACGTTCTAAAACACTCGAAAAATACAAAAATAACGTAATTTTAAACTTAATATTTTGATTATTAAGTTTATTTTGCCCAAAAACCTGAAATTTTAGTATAAAAACGTGCTTAAAAGTATTTTCAACCAAATTTAGTGTTGCTCAGAACCAATTAAATCGAGTGAGACAAACAAAATAACATCAATATCAATTCGTTTGTGATTTTTAGCCGTGTTTGGACAAGATTTTGAAAAATAAATGAACCTCATCTAGTTTAAAAACGAACTAAGTCCGGCTAATAAGCTTAAATGATATTAATTTGGATTTAATTTTATATTTTTTAGCATGTTTCAATGAAATATTTCGAACTCTTGTGTTTTTATCTCTCAAAAAACGCCGTTTTTTGGGCTATTTTTGGCTTGTTTTTGAAAATTCTCCATAACAATTGTGTTTCTAGTAGAAAAAGCATTCGAAAAAAAGAAAAATAAGTTGTCATTGTCGACTCTGTGTTTAATAATATCTTGTAAAAAATAAATAGAACTATTTTTAATCAATTTGATGGTTTTCGATTATTTTTTCTTCGAAAAAATTTAACAAATTAATCAAGTTAAAGCCTAAGAATTAAGTAAAAATATCATAATATAATCTTTTTTTTATAACAATTTAGTGATTTTTGATACGCAAACTCAAAAAGGAAAAAAATATACCATTTTCGGTTTAATTCTGTTTTTTTTTTGGGTTGTTTTTAACAAAGTTTTGCGAAATAATAGCGTTTCTAGCTGAAAAACGTGCTAAAACTTTCAAGAAATGCTAAATTAATGTAATTTTGGACTTAATTTGTTGATTTTTTCAGTTTGTTTTAGCCAATCTCGCCAAAAACCTAAAACTGTAGTTCAAAAACGTGCTTTAAAGTATTCTCGGCTTATTTTTGTTTTATTTTGCTCAAAAACCAGTTAAATCGAGTGAAACAAACAAAATATCGTCAGTATCAATTGTTTTTGTGATTTTTAAGCGTGTTTGGACAAGATTTTGCAAAATAAATGGGTTTGTGGTTCAAAAACAAAGTAAGTCGAGCGAAACGAGCTAAAAATAATATCAAATTCGATTTAATTATGTAATTATTTTACCTGTTTCAACGAAATTTTTAGAATTCCCTTGATTTTATTTCACAAACGTGCTTAAACACTTAAAAAGAATTTGATGAATTTCTGGATTGTCTTAAACTAAATTTTGCGAAATAATTATTTCTCGCTGAAAAAGTATTCGAAAAAGACAAAAATTGTAATTTTTGATCCTGTCTAGTAAAATCTTGTAAAAAAAACAAACAGAACTATTTTTAAGTAATTTGGTGGTTATTAAATTTTTTGAAAAAAAATGACGAAATAATCAAGTTCCTTTTTGAAAACGTGGAAGAAGCTTGAAAAACAGTTTTTTTCATTTCCAAAAAATCACCAAATATAATTTTTACTAAAGTTTTCACCAAATCACAGACTAACATGAAAATCACCAGATCTGGTGAAATTTTACCACACCTGGCAACACTGGGTATCACTGCTCTTGCAACACCAACTTTCAGATTTGGCTCAAAGACGCGGTCCAGTGCCGCGAATGCGGCCTCTGTTGTCACAAAAAATGCATAGCTAAGTGTCAAACCAGCACTGCATGCATACAAGGTGAGAAGAAAACCGAACCGGAAACGGTCCAACCGGAAATAACGATGACCGAACCCCCGGATGAGTACACAGAGGGGGAGTTGAAACGAGTAAACAGCGTGAAAAATTTAGCAATTCCAGGTTTTTTCCCACTTTAGGATTTTCTTTTATTAAAAAAAATCGTAGGTGCGCAATTTCTATCAACTGTCTCGAAAAGTCTGCCACCTTCGCCCCAGCGAACCCCAAGTCGGAAGCAATCCATGTCGAACATAAACCCCTTCTCTCTGTGTCCCGGTGTTTTGGAAGATGTGCAAAAAAAACCGGAAGAGGCGTCCGAAAGTGTCAACCGACTTTTGGAACAAGTCATGCAGTGCCCCCCTGACGAGACGCTCATGGACGTGGCTAAGGAAACAGGAAAACAGCTCTATGCTCACATGCCACATGAGGAGAAAGTCGAAAAAGTCAATGTGATGGTAAGTGAGGTAGTTTCATGTTTTTGGTTCTATTTCGCACGTGTAGATGGCGGAATTGAAGAAGACTCTAGATTCGGTGACTTTGGAACATATGGAACTGTCGAAACAAATGAGTAGTCAAGAATCTGACGCCGAGAAGACAAAAATCGCGTTTCTGATTGGTCAAGCCGATGCTAAGGTTCAAGGACTCTCAGTATTGATGCTTCATTATTGTTCCAGTTTGCAGCATACCCAAGAAAAAATAGTGTAGGCGCTTTTGTCTACTCGAAAAAAAGCATATCATTGTGACCCCAGTACTTAATTTTAGCATTTATGACACTCCTCTAGTCAATTAATTTCCACATTGGTAGTATTTTTATTTTTACACGTTTTTAGGAATTTTAAACTATACTTACTGTGATAGCGTAGGATGTAGTAAAATGATTTTTAATTTTAGTGACTAGATGTGCAAAGCTGTCTCTTGGTTTTAATAGGCAAAAAGAGTGAAACTAAGCTTTAACATTGTTGTATTTGTTGCGCAAAACGTCCATGTCAGTATTTTTTGGCATCTTTGATTCGACATGCCCTATTTATTTGTGGAAAAAATTTCTTATGTAATATATTTTGTACAATAAATTTTGCCTGCTTCACATTTTCGTCTTTTACTTCAAAAACAGTCATGAATGAAACGATGCCTGACCTTGTTACACATAATTACACCTGGAGTGGGAAAAAATAATGAAAGAATGTGGGAGTGTTTATACGGGGTGAACAAAAAATATGGAACCAAACGTTTTTTTTTTAAATAATCAGAAAAATTAAATAACTATAAAAAATATAATCAAAATAGTATTTTTTTATCAAATTGAATAAAATGTAGATCTTTAGATCATGGCCTTTACAAAAAATGTTTCATAGTGGGTTTCCATTCGAAAAAATTGAAAATTTTGCAGAATTCAAAAACAAAAATTCGAATTTCATTCTTGAAAAACGTCGTTTATTTGGCCCTGTGTTTGAATAAAATAATAAATAATTATTGTGTGTAGTAGTATGTAGTATACATGTATGTATAGAGGGTTGCATGCGGACATGATTTGACAACACACAGACGATGTGGCACCAGCATGCAAGATGGTGTATTAATATAGTCGCTCTCTAAAACTAAATTCCGAGTTTTATTTAAAAAACCCCGAGACAAGGAACACGACATTGTGATTCTGACACACTTATTACTTAAACATTGATTCATAATGTGCTGAAAGGTTTTTGTATTAACCGAATTCGGGTAAAAAGAGACTGGGGTGAAAGTACAATATTTGGTTTAAAAACTAATACAGTCTCTTTTGAAACTAAAAATGTTTCTTTTTCACCATTATTAAAGGCTCATCTAGTTGTAAAAACTTTCGACTTCATTAAAATTCATACACAATTAACCGCATTAGATATATTTATTTCATCTAATAATCCAATTAATGTCACAAAAATGTATTTAACTAAAAGAGAAGCCAAAATCAGGCAGTCACGAACTTTTACTACAATGAAACACTTTTATTTGTGTTTAATTCCCATTTTATTTGGTTTACTGCTTTATTGTTGGTCGCGTAGAAAACTTTACAAGTTCTCAACTCAAGTCCAAGGCCCTCCTACACTCCCTATACTCGGCAATGGTTTAAAATTCTTATGCAAAAAAGAAGGTAAGTCACGGTTGCGCACCTCAGTCCCTATTTCAAATAATTTCAGACATTTTAAACGTTTTTATCGAGTCTTTAAACCCTTACCCCTCACCAACAAGGATGTGGTTTGGTCCAAGATTAGTACTTTTTGTCAAAGACCCAAACCAGTTGCAGGTCCACAAACCAATGATTTTGAACGAAAAAATCAATTATTTTTTTAGAGTATATTACAATCGCCTAAAATGACCACAAAAGCTTTTTTTTACAAGTTCCTGGAGCCGTTTCTTGGACAAGGTTTATTTACAGCATCAGGGCCTAAATACAAAATTGATAAAAAAAATCTACAACCACTTTTTTCGCAAAAAATGATAACGGCGTATTGTCAAGTGTTCCAAAAACATGCGAATAAGCTTGTTGCGGGGATGAGGATGCATGTGGATGGGCCCGAATTTGATGTTTTATGCCATCTAAATTTTACTGCTTTCGAATCATCAATGGGTAATTTTTATGGCGAAAATAACAACAAAAAATTGTGTTTTTTGCAGATTTGTTATTAGAAGACAAAAATAAACACTCGATTGATTACAAAGATGTTCCACAATACGTTCAAAGGTCGCAAAAGTCGAAATTAAAATCAAAAATTATTTATTTCCAATTCCAGGTTTTACCACATATTTTTTAGTCGAATTACAAAGTTTTGGCTCCATTTTGATTTCATCTTCAAGCGAACTTCCTACTACAAGGAGCAAAGTAAAATGAAGGAAATGGCNGGCACCAGCATGCAAGATGGTGTATTAATATAGTCGCTCTCTAAAACTAAATTCCGAGTTTTATTTAAAAAACCCCGAGACAAGGAACACGACATGGTGTCAGGTGTAAAACTGTAAATTCGTGATAAATCCAAAGTGACACAAAAGAAGAATAGTGGCACACAACGTGGATGTTTGAAGATAAAAAGAAAAAAGTTGAGGTTAAGTCGCAGAACACACGTGCACCCATAAAATTAGAAAATGGAAAACGTTAACAAACCGCCCACACTGAAAATAAAAGGAGTCCCTAATGTAAATTGGAACAAATGGTACGACGCTTTTGAAACGTTCCTAGATGCTTCTGGATTGGACGAGGCCCAAGATAAAAGAAAAATTGCTTTACTGCTGAACCTCATTGGAGAAGACGCCCAGGAGTTGATGAACAATTTCGCATGGACCACAGCAGGAGAAAGAACGAACTTCAGATCCGTAGTCAACAAATTCAAGGATTACTGCCAGCCTTTAAAAAATATAACGATTGAAAGATTCAACTTTAACAGCATTATCCAAAGAGAAGGGGAGACGTTTGATTCGTTTCTAACTGAACTACAAAACAAGGCAGCCACCTGTGAGTTCGGTGCTTTGAAAGAAGGACTCATCAGAGATAGAATTGTATACGGAATTCGGGATAAAGCTTTGCAGAAAAGATTGCTACGAGAACCAAATTTATTGTTGACTGATTGCATTCAATACTGTCGTGCAGCCGAGCAGAGTGAACGACAAGCCCAATTATTTCAACATGGAGCAAGAGTTGAAGCCGTGAAAAAGCATCAAGATATGAAGAAAGTGGAGAGTTGTCACAAGTGTGGAAGACGACACGAACCAAGGAGGTGCCCCGCATTTGGAAAAACCTGTCTACACTGCAAGGGTAAAAATCACTTTTCGACGGTGTGTAAGAAGAAAAATCAAGCGGATTCTGCAAATAGACAAAGAGGACCGGTTCCAGACAGAAGAAAAGTTAAAGAAGTGACAGAAGAAGGAAGTGAGAAAAATTTTTTCGTCTCAGAAGTGACAGGACAAAATTCGAGCGCCTGGTACGAGTATTTATCAATAAATAATGTTAGGGTGAGATTTAAACTTGATTCAGGAGCAGAGGTAAATATTTTGCCAAAATACCTTTTAGATAAATTGTCAATATCACTAAATAATATTTTGCCATATAATGGAATTTTGTTAACATTTGGAAATATAAAATTAAGAACAAAAGGAAAAGTAACGTTAGAATGCGCATATAAAGACAATTTAAAACGTCTTGAATTTGTTGTTGCAGATGTAAAATCTCAACCTATTTTAGGTCTAGCAGGTTGTATATCATTAAATTTAATTAAAAGAATTGAACAATTAGACAGATTATACACTAATGTTAATAATGTAATAGATGAGTATAGGAATGTTTTTACAGGCGTAGGTGTATTAGATACAACACATCACATTGAAATTGACAAGGACGTTACACCTGTTGTTCACCCTCCTAGACGAATTCCCCTGTCTCTCCAGCCTAAATTGGAAGAAACCCTGAATGAACTGGAACGCCAAGGAATTATTGAGAAGGTGGACTATCCTACAGATTGGGTAAACAGTTTGGTAGTAGTTGAGAAGAAAACAGGTCAGTTAAGACTTTGCTTGGACCCTAAGGATTTGAATAAAGCCATCAAAAGGGAACACTACATGATACCTACAGCACAGGATGTAATCCCACGTTTGGCCGGTAAGCAGATTTTTACCGTAATTGATATGAGCGCCGGATTCTGGCATGTACCTTTAGACGAAGAAAGTTCAAATTTATGTTGTTTTAACACCCATGTGGGAAGATATAAATTTTTACGGATGCCATTTGGACTAAAATCGGCCCCCGAGGTTTTTCAAAAACATGTTATTCGTATTTTTGGCCATATATCAGGGGTAAATGTTATTTTTGATGATCTCATCATCGCGGCTAATAATGAAAAAGAACACGATGAGATTTTACAGAGAGTTTTAAATACCGCTCTAGAGCATAATATTAGATTTAACAAGGAGAAAATTCAATTCAAAATAAAAAGTGTAAGATATATGGGAAACATAATAACGGACAAGGGTATAAAACCGGATCAAGATAAAGTACGTGCAATTAGAGAAATGTCTGAGCCCAAGTGTAAGGAAGAAGTAAAACGTTTTTTGGGCATGGTAAATTTTATGTCATCATTTATTCCGAATGTAGCCATAATTAATGCTCCATTGAGAGAGTTGCTTAAACAAAATATAGAATGGCATTGGACACACAAACATACAGAAGTGTTCAATAAATTGAAGAATTTACTTAGTGAGCAACCGACGATGAGGTATTTTGACCCAAAGGAAAACATTGTAATTCAAACAGATGCTTCGAAAAAAGGAATAGGTTGTTGTCTGCTACAGAATGGACAGCCAGTAGCGTATGCTTCAAAAGCATTAACAGAGACAGAAATTAACTACGCACAAATTGAGAAGGAATTGCTTGCCGTAGTATATTGTTTAGAAAAATTTCACTATTATATTTATGGAAGACACGTAACGGTGCAGACAGACCACAAACCACTATTGGCTATAACCAAAAAGAATATAGGACAAACTACAGCACGATTACAACGTATGTTGTTACGAATATTGAAATATGATTTTCATTTGGAGTTCATACAAGGTAAACATATGTATCTAGCCGATACTCTTTCCAGGAATTTTTTAAAAGATACAGTAAAGGATGATGAAGATTTAGAGTCGGTAGTACATAGTATTGCGAAACATATAGCTGTCACAAAGGAGAAGAAAGAAAAAATTAAGAAAGCTATGAAAACAGACAAGTTAATGCAAGATCTTTTTAATTGTTGCAAGAATGGCTGGCCCGAAAAGAAGACACAAGTGCTGGAGAATACAAGACTTTATTGGAATATTAGACATGAGCTTTCGACAGATGACGGATTAATTTTTAAAGGAAATAGGTTAGTCATTCCTCAAACCCTCCGTGAAGATATTTTAGCACAAATACACGAAGGACATCAAGGAATAGAAAAATGTAAAATTCGAGCTAGAATGACCGTCTATTGGCCTGGAATTTCTAAACAAATAGAAGATATGGTTACACGTTGCTGGATTTGTGAGAAATATAGGCATCAGAATCAGAAGGAATCACTAATTCCACACCCAGTTCCGGACCGAGCCTGGAAGAAGATTGCTGCCGATATTTTGACATTTAGAGGTATAGATTTTCTCATAATAATCGACTATTTTTCTAACTGGCTAGAAATAGTACGTTTACATGGAAAAACAGCAGCACATTTAATTATAAAATTTAAAGAAGTCTTTTCACGAAACGGAATTCCAGAAGAAATTGTATCAGACAATATGCCGTTTAACAGTTACGAATTTAGAACATTTGCTTCAGAATGGGATTTTTCTATCAGTACCTCGAGTCCACGATATCCACAATCTAATGGAATGGCAGAGCGAGGAGTACAAATCTCAAAAAATATTCTTCGCAAAGCGTATGAACAAAACACTGACATATACCCAGCACTATTAGCGTACAGAAACACGCCAATAAAAACGACCAATGTTTCACCAGCGCAGGCTATGTACAATAGGACTTTAAGAGAAAAACTACCCATCAAAAATGAAAGCTTAAGACCTAGAATACAAAGAAATATAAAAGAAGACAAGGAACTTGCACACATGAAAATGAAGAAATATTATGATAAAAATTCAAAAGATTTACCGAATTTAAAGACTGATCAAAGTGTTGTAGTAAAAACAGATAGAACTTGGAAACCCGGAAAGATCATCGCCGAATATGAAAAACCACGGTCTTATCTTGTACAGACTGAATCATCAATAATTAGACGAAATAGAAGAGATTTAAGACCTTCATTAAACTCACCGCCATTGATCACCGAGGATCAAGAAGGGCTCTCCAGGATAAAGTACGAAATTCCCAACAAAATTCAAATTCCCGACGATAACAAAATTCAAATTCCCGACCATGACAAAACTCAAATTCCCTACAATGACAAAATCCAAATTCCCGACAATGACAAAATACAAATAACGCAACGACCAAAACGCACGACTAAATTACCAAAGAAGTATAATGAGTTTGTAATGAAGTAGTTTGTTTATTTTATTTAACTACCAAAGTATAATGAGTTTGTAATGAAGTACTTTGTTTA